CCCCAACCTTATCAGCAATATACCAACTTCACCTACATATGGGACATTTGGTATTCAAGAACTTGCAGCTGCTACTCAAACTTTACAAAACGTCACCAGTGTCTGAGCAGAAAGTTGATGAACCAGGGTCATGTCAAAGAACGGCTCATTCTTTTTCTAAAAAATTTCTTCAGAAGATATCAAAAACCTTGTTGATAAATATTATGTATCAACTTAACAAATAATACATGATGGTCTTAAAGTAAAGTTCCTAGGTTCTGACGTTATTCATCATCTTAATTACGTTTAATAGTGTTCTTTTTATTTGACTTTGTATATTTTTAACCTTTACTGTTTAGTCCATTTTTGGTATTATCCTTTTGGCATGGTTCTGTATTTGTTACAGACCATACTCGTATGGTCATGACCATATAGGTATATACTCATATGGTCCGGGTAATTAATACGATAGACGTTCATACGTCATACCAATATACGACCCCAAAATTTTTTTGCGGTCGTATAAAAACCTTGTTCATAAATATTATGTATCAACGTAACAAATAATACATGATGGTCTTAAAGTATAGTTCCTAGGTTCTGACGTTGTTCATCATCTTAATTACGTGTAATAGTGTTCTTTTTATTTGACTTTGTATATTTTTAACCTTTACTGTTTAGTCCATTTTTGGTATTACCCTTTTGGCATGGTTCTGTATTTGTTCCAGACCATACGTGTATGGTCATGACCATATAGGTGTCATAAATTAATAGTTTTTAAAATGAAATTGTGACTTATTTAATTATTTTTTCAAATGTTAATCATTGTTACATGATAAATGAAATAAAGTGAATTTTGTTCACAAGTTTAAATTAAAGTAAAAGCATTTTTACATAATCCTACATAATGTTTTAGTCCCAGGTTCATGCTCCTATATCCTTATGATTTTACACTCACAGTAGTTTATATGTGGGCAGCGCGTATAAACTACTGTTATTGTAAAATCGTATGAATAGGAGCAAGAACACATCAATTAAGTAAAATTAATTAAGTAGAAATTAGAACAAATTAAATCAAATAAAATAATTTAAACACTGGAGAAAGAAGAAAAAAAGTTCATTCCCCAAAAGCCGGTGGTTTCACTAGCGGACAAAAACAAGTCGACAGGATAAAGGTGCTTAAATTGACTCTAGTGAAGGCAAGATAATAGATATACAACATATTCAGACAACAGGAATTCACTTATCGTATGTCAATTTTGGTTCGGAGAACGACTTGTCTGTTCCTGCGAAGTAAAATACCTATATGGTCTATAAATACTCACATGGTCCGGTCCGTTAATAACCAAATGAGTATATACTCATATGGTCTTGACCATACTTGTATGGTCCAAATACTTATATGGTCCGGAACATCTTAATACATCCCGCCACTGTGTTATTGTGCTATGGTCATTTTTTGTATTCTTGTCTTTCATTTTTGCTTATGTGCTTTGTCGATAGAGTGTCTATATGCCATTTTGTTTTTCTTTGTTGACATAGTTGTTTGGTTTTATAGTGATTACAATTATAACACAATGTTGACTGTTGTACCCCAATTTTTGACATTTTTAGCTATTATGTCTGTATGTTTTGCTCACACATTGTTGTCTATATAATGGAATTCTATGCGACTTGTCATACAAGTGATAGGTTTAGCTAGCTATAAATCCAGGTTTAATCCGCATTTTCTACAGAAGGAAATGATTGTACCAAGTCAGGAATATGACAGTTGTTTTCCATTTATTTGATGTGTTTCAGCTTTTGAATTTGCCATTTGATAAGGGACTTTCAGTTTTGAATTTTCCTTGGAGTTTTATTTTTTTGCTATTTTACTTTTAATATAATATGGTCATGTTTTTATATCAAAATATTCAAAAATCTTGAGCTATTACAATTTTAGAAAATAATGCCCAGAAGATGTTTACTGGGCATATTTCAGTATTAATAAATTCAAATGTTTTTTTTAATTACAATACAAGATATCCATAAATTCTTTAAAAAATTAATAAAAAACCCAATTAAAACAATAGAAAACAAGAAATGATTGTAACAGGATGCTGTTACGAAGTCTCCCAAACGAAGCTCCCATAATTCGTAATTCCCAGGGTCGCCTGACATTGGACAAAGTCCAGTGAAAATTGGTTTGGTCTAGTAAAGTTATATGCATTAGTGATGCCTGGGGACTAACCCTGTATATCATTCAAATCATCTTGGCATGACAAACCAGAATATATATGGTTTAGGGGTGGGGATCTCGACCATTTACAAGATACTAGAACATTGGGGGTGGGGGGAACCCCTGGGGACTGACCCTATACATCATTCAAATGTTCGAGACATGACGAACAGGAATATAGATGGTTTAGGGGTGGGGATCTCGACCATTTACAAGATATTAGAACATTGGGGGTGGGGGGAACCCCTGCCGACTGACCGTATACGTCATTCAAATGTTCAAGACATGATGAACAGGAATATATATGGTTTAGGGGTGGGGATCTCAACCATTTACAAGATATTAGAACTTTCTCAAATGGCAAGGGGTCGGGATGACACCTGGGGACTAACCCTGTATATCATTCAAACCATCTTGGTATTACAAACTAGAATATATATGGTTTAGGGGTGGGGATCTTGACCACTTACAAGATATTAGAACTTTCTTAAATGGCAGGGGGTGGGGGTGACCCTTTGGGACTTACCCTGTATTTCATCTGATGTGCTTTATCATGACAAACCAGAATATATATGGTTTAAGGGTGGGGATCTCGACCATTTACAAGATATTAGAACTTTCTCAAATGGCAGGGGGTCGGGATGACACCCGGGGACTAACCCTGTATATCATTCAAACCATCTTAGCATGACAAACCAGAATATATATGGTTTAGGGGTGGGGATCTTGACCACTTACAAGATATGAGAACTTTCTGAAATGGCAGGGGGTGGGGGTGACCCCTGGGGACTAAACCTGTATTTCATTTGATGTGCTTTATCATGACAAACCAGAATATATATGGTTTAGGGGTGGGGATCTCGACCATTTACAAGATATTAGAACTTTCTCAAATGGCTGGGGGTTGGGATGACCCCTGGGGACTAACCCTGTATATCATTCAAACCATCTTAGCATGACAAACCAGAATATATATGGTTTAGGGGTGGGGATCTTGACCACTTACAAGATATGAGAACTTTCTGAAATGGCAGGTGGTGGGGGTGACCCCTGGGGACTAAACCTGTATTTCATTTGATGTGCTTTATCATGACAAACCAGAATATATATGGTTTAGGGGTGGGGATCTCGACCATTTACAAGATATTAGAACTTTCTCAAATGGCAGGGGGTTGGGATGACCCCTGGGGACTAACCCTGTATATCATTCAAACCATCTTAGCATGACAAACCAGAATATATATGGTTTAGGGGTGGGGATCTTGACCACTTACAAGATATTAGAACTTTCTTAAATGTCAGGGGGTGGGGGTGACCCCTGGGGACTAAACCTGTATTTCATTTGATGTGCTTTATCATGACAAACCAGAATATATATGGTTTAGGGGTGGGGATCTCGACCATTTACAAGATATTAGAATTTTCTCAAATGGCAGGGGGTCGGGATGACCCCTGGGGACTAACCTTGTATATCATTCAAACCATCTTAGCATGACAAACCAGAATATATATGGTTTAGGGGTGGGGATCTCGACCATTTACAAGATATTAGAACTTTCTTAAATGGCAGGGGGTGGGGGTGACCCCTGGGGGCTAACCCTGTATTTCATTTAATGTGCTTTATCATTTAGAACATTTTCAATTAAAAAAGATTGTGTCTATCACAAACGGTTTTCAATTTATAATCATTTGAAAATTTTTAAAAATAAAATCCCATAGGGTTCTATAGTAAAACCCTCCTTTCTTTTTGCCCCTCAAAGTACCCCTTTATAAACCCCATTGCACAAACAAAACCCTGATTGCACCACTAGACATGTTAGTCTAACATATTGTGAAACCCTAAGTTAATCTGACAAGCGGTTTTGGAGAACGGGTGCGGACAAGTTCAAATTTAAAAGCGGCGGAAGAGGAAGAAGAAGAAGAAGAAGAAGAAGAAGAATAATAATAATAAGAACTGAGCAAAACCAATAAGTCTTCCCAAACTTCGTTTGGGAGACTTAATAACCACATAAAAAATCTGAACTGGCTACAGGGCTGATGGTACAATAAGGGAATAAATCCATCGGCAGATGTTCCAATCTAGTGCTAGTTATTTAAATGTATGGTCCTGATTTCCATTGGAATGGTACGTTTCTAGAATAACATATGACTAAGTACGGTAATGCACTCAAAACCATAACTGAAGGAAGCCAAAAATATGAAATAATCTAAAATCAAAATCACCAAAAGGACTACAAAACATTTTGCCTCAAATGGGCAATAGGGAGAGCTCAACATTCTGAACATTTTTGCCGCTGTCAGATTAGCGGTTACAAAACAGACTTTACTTTTACAAATTGTGACTTGGATGGAGAGTTGTCTCATTGGCACCCATACCATATCTTCTTATATCTATTAAATCAAGTTTATTGGAACAAGTTCCTAACAACTAAGTATTAGAACATTTTCACCTTGTATAACATGAAATGTGTAATAAGAGTTTCACAACACTCAAATCAAGCCATTAACAAAGCATTGATAATTGGGTTTAATGTTGCCTCAAGGACGGATACAATTGTACAATTTTTTTTATAAAACCGTCAACATGGTCAATGAAAATAAAAAAAAACTGCAAATTTTTTCAGACTTTACACTTCATAACAATTCTTCGTATTTTTTTATCAGTCTTCCCTCTATATGAATCATTCGGCTAAGCCATCCCTAAATAACAGCTTTTGATGAAGCTTCTGAAAGTTTTTTGGTAAATTTTCCGTTGTTTGCTTAGTGTCCAGTGGCAAATATCAATGCATAGTTAAATATAATAAATGTTTGAGAAACTTTATGCAAAAGAAAAACACATCTAACAATAATTATTCTAACAATCATAACAAAATCAGTATATGCACATGCCAAGATAGACAAAAAAGTTATTGTATCATATGACCATGTTGCTAAAGTTTCTTTTTTAAGATAACATCAAGAAAACTATGTTAAATGACTTTAAATATTTCTTATAGTTGCTAATGTATATGTCTAGAGGGGCCTTTACTTCCTGTTGTACATGCATTCAGGCTTGGTTAAAGTAGAGGTTCAGAGGGGACTTTACTTCATATGGTATATGTATTCAGGCCTGGTTAATGTAGAGGTTCAGAGGGTTTTTAACTTCATGTTGTTTATGTCTTCAGGCCTGGTTAATGTAGAGGTTCAGAGGGGACTTTACTTAATGTGGTATATGTATTCAGGCCGGGTTAATGTAGAGGTTCAGAGGGGCCTTTATTTCTCGTGGTATATGTATTCAGGCCTGGATAATGAAGAGGTTCAGAAGGGCCTTTCCTTCATGTTGTATACAAATTCAGGCTGGTAAATGAAGAGGTTCAGATGAGTCTTTACTTCCTGTGGTATATGCATTCAGATATGTTTAATGCAAAGGTTCAGATAAACCTTAACTTCATGTGGTTTATGTATTCAGGCCTGTTTAATGTAGAGGTTCCCCAGTCAGATTTTCTCTATTTATAGCTGTTTTCAAAGGAACAGACAAAACTTGCATTTTACCCCTATGTTCTATTTTTAGCCATGTCAACCATCTTGATTGGCAGGCGGAGTCATCGGACACATATTTTTATCTAAATACCCCAATGATAATTGTAGCACTTTTTGTTTAAATTTGGCCCAGTAATTTTCAGGGGAAAAGATTTTTGCAAAAGTTAACAGACGACGGCATCGACGACGATGAGATGAGGACGCAAAGTGATGAGAAGAGCTCACTTAGCCCTTTGTGTTAGCCCACTGTTCTTATAGTTGAGGGACACTGTCAGTTATACTAGTAATGAACTGACATGGTATTAGCTAAAATCTATCAGACAAATTTCTACTGATGATACATTGCCATGCAGATACATAATATTTACATGCATCAGGCAAAATCTCACCTAATGTTAACGATGCTAAATGTTGTCACACAGATCACAACCACAAAACATCTACCATCATCAATAAGTGACAAATATATGATATTTACATGCATCAGGCAAAATCTCACCTGATGTTGACAATGCTAAATGTTGTCACACAGATCACAACCACAAAACATCTACCATCATCAATAAGTGACAAATATATGATATTTTCATGCACTGATGTGTTTTGTAGGTAACTTAAAAGTGTTAATTATATCATTGTAGACTGTCTATCAATACATAACAGGCATATCTTCATTCCTGATATCATTTAATAATTTGATCACACCCTGCCCTGACAATTTCTGTGACTCTAGCCAACCCATAGCTTTGCTCACAATAAACTTCCATTCAACGTCACGATCCTGAAGGAATTTCTGCAGGAACACTATTACATAGGCTGTGCACCAAACATCCAACTGAAACAGTAAAAGAAATAAAATTAAAACAGTCTCTCCACCTGTTAGACAGCAATGCTTTGTACAAAAAAGAATAATTGATAAGGATAAGAAATATTTAAAAATAAATGGAGAATGTGTCCATGGGACACAGATTATGTCCCAGCATGTATATAACTTTATAAAGGGGCATAACTAGGGGCCCAGAACGGTAGAAGTGACCCCACCAAAATTCAAAATTGATCTTTGTTTTGTGGTAATAAGCATTGTGTATAAGTTTCATAACATTTGGTTGAGGCAAACTTAAGTTAGAGAACGGAAACCAATTTCTTCAAAAATAAATGGGGAATGTGTACACTATGGGACACAGATGATGCCCCTGCTTGCATATCATATAAAGTTATAAAGGGACATAACTGAAGAACTTTAAAAGTGACGCTACCCAAATTTTTTATTGATCTGAGTTTTGTAGTAATAAGTATTGTGTATAAGTTTCATAACATTTGGTTGAGGCAAACTTAAGTTAGAGAACCGAAACGAAAAATTCATCAATTTTTTTCCTTTTGTAAACAGTCAGGGGTGCTACTTAAACAAGTGATTTCATCATCACTTATTTCAGTGATTTGATAAATTCAGTTATCACCTATTTAAGTGATTTTAGTGTTTTCTTTGATCTTCAAATGCTAATTTCATTGATTTTCCATATTTTCACAATCTTTTCTATAATTTTCCTACATAAATCAATTATCCCTTTTTCTTTGTATATTAATTTCACCAGTGCGCTTGGGCAGTAAGTTAGTGCGCTAAAGCTTTTAAAAGTACCCTTGGGAATTTTTCTGTAATCAAAAATTCATTAACTACTCTTACTATCAGACAAAGATCAACAATATTAGGTAACCTGATTGGTTTTCTTTAGAGTTAGAATGATCTACTTCAAGGTTATGACCTGATCTACAAACTATTCCAGTTTTTGCATATTTTAAAAAAACTGTAAAAGTGTCAGGCTTATCAAGCAAAAGACAATTTCTGCATATACATAGTTGTTTTTTCAATGGAATTGTTGTCTTTTTACCAATAAAAAAATCAAGCTTGTGGGAAAAATATCAAGAAAATGATATAAACACTTATTAAAGTGATTACATTTTAACTTCTAAAATTACTTGTTTCAGTGATTTTAAAAAGTCTGTGTGAAAATTTTTAATATTTCACCGGCAAAATCACTCGAGGGAGTGATTCTGAAATCACTTGTTTAAGTAGTACCCCTGACTGGTAAAGGGGCATAACTCTAGAACAGTAAAAGTGACGCCACTAAAATTCAAACTTGATCTGTGTTTTGTGGTTATAAGCATTGTGTATAAGTTTCATAACATTTGGTTGAGGTAAACTAAAGTTAGAGAACAGAAACCAATTTTGGGACGTACTGACGTCTAACATGGTTAGAAACAGCATATCAAAGAACCCCAAGAATTCATTTTTTGATGAAATCAAACAAAGTTTAATTTTTGACCCTTTGAACCTCAATTTGAACCAATTTCATAACAGGGTCCAACATCCAAAATCTAAATACAGGATTAGATTCAGCATATCAAAGAACCCCATAGATTCAATTTTTGTTGAAATCAAACAAAGTTTAATTTTGGACCCTGATTTGGACCAACCTGAAAACTGGGCCCAAAATTAACAAGCATTCTGATAGTATTGCATGGCAATACATAGTCCCCTACCAGTTAAAATTTCATTGTACTGGAACAAAATGCTAACTTGATCTATAACATGTCAAGGTGTAAACTTTATAACAAATATCAAGTCAATATTTTTTTAAGCATGACGAAAAAAACTGATTATTTAAGTGAATTTTCTAAGTCCAAGGACCATAACTCTGCACAAAATTATCAGACCAGAACAAAATTTGAACTTGATCTGCTACTTGTCATGATAAAACTATATACCAATTATCCATTCAATATCTTCAAGCATGACGAAAATAAACTGCTTCGCTGAGCGCAGCTGGATACGCCGGCAGAGGTCCAACCCTGAACAGTTGGGGCAAAAATGGACACAATATTCAAGCTTCATACAGGTCTGAATTTGGATTTTATTAAATATTTGACATATAGGTTTCTAAATAAATTTAGTCAAAGAACTTGAAATTGGTTATATGAATTGAATTTATATTCAATTAAAGATTTCTTGCTGTTGTGCAATACACTGTGCTGTTGCGCAATACTAATTAAATCTGTTGTCAGAATATAAACAATTAAAGTTCAATTAATTCTCAATGTCATATTAGAAATTTATGAAAATGTAAAGGGAGCTTACATCAATAGATATAAACAATTCACCAAAGTTGCATGAAAATTTCTGACAGCATTTTTGAGTTATTGTTCGAAAACTGGAAAATCCCCATTTTTTAATGAATAAAACCCCATAACTCAGAAATGTAAAATGTAAAATTTATAAAATTCTAAACGGAGCTTACATCAATAGATATAAACAATTCACCAAAGTTTCATAAGAACTGCTGAAAGCATTTTTGATTTTTTGTCCGAAAACTGGAAAATCACCCTTTTTTTATGAATAAAACCCTGTAACTCGGAAACATAAAATCTAAAATATATAAAAATCGAAAGGGAGCTCATGTCAATAGATATAAACAATTCACAATTTCTTGCAAGTTGGTGAAAGCATTCTTGAGTTAATGTCCGACATGTTGACGACGGATGAACAGATGGACAACAGTATACCATAATAAGTCCCGTAAACAGACGTATAAAAAGTGAGGAAAACTGATTATTGAGCGAATTTTCTAAGTCCAAGGACCATAACTCTGCACAAAATTTGAATGTGATCTGTAACTTGTCATGATAAAATAATACACCAAATATCAAATCAATATCTTCAAGCACGAAGAAACTAGAGGCTCTCAAGAGCCTGTGTCGCTCACCTGTATTTACTGATGCTTTGGAAATCATATAAAATAAGGTTAAAATCATAATTAATAGTATTAGATATTTAACCTTATTAGATATTAGATATTGTAATGATATCTAAGATAATAACAAAAAAATGCAAAATTTTTGTAAAATTACTAACTCAGGGGCAGCAACACAACAACGGGTTGTCGGATTCGTCTTAAAATTTCAGGGCAGATAAATCTAAATCTGATGAACATTTTTGCCACCTGTCAGATTTGCTCTAAATGCTTTAGTTTCAGAGAGATAAACCAAAAACTGCATTTTACCCCTATGTTCTATTTTTAACCAAGTCGGCCATGATGGTTGGAAGGCGGGGTCATCAGACAAATTTTTTAAACTAGATACCCTTATAATGATTATGGCCAAGTATGGTTAAATTTGTCTCCGTAGTTTCAGAGAAGAAGATTTTTGTAAAAGATTACATTTACAAAAAATTGTTTAAAAATTGACTATTAAGGGCAATAACTCCTAAAGTGGTCGACTGACAATTTTGGTCATGTTGACTTATTTGTAGATCCTACTCTGCTGAACATTATTGCAGTTTACAGTTTATCTCTATCCATAATAATATTCAAGATAATAACCAAAAACTGCAAAATTTCCTTAAAATTACCAATTCAGGGGCAGCAACCCAACAACAGGTTGTCAGAATTGTCTCAAAATTTCAGGGCAGATAGATCTTGACCTGATAATCAGTTTTACCCTCTGTCAGATTTACTCTAAATGCTTTGGTTTCAGAGATATAAGCCAAAATCTACATTTTACCCCTATGTTCTATTTTTAGCCATGGTGGCCATCTTGGTTGGTTGGCAGGGTCATCGGACACATTTTTTAAACTAGATACCCTAATAATGATTGTGGCCAAGTTTGGTTAAATTTGGTCCAGTGGTTTCAGAGGAGAAGATTTTTGTAAAAAGCTAACGACGACGGACGACGGATGCCAAGTGATGAGAAAAGCTCACTTGGCCCTTTGGGCCAGGTGAGCTAAAAAGTGTGGAAAACTGATTTGCCGGACTGACGGATGGACAGACAGACAGAAGGATGGAGTGCAAACCTAAAGTCCCCTTCGACTTCGTCAGTAGGGGACTAAAAATCTAAATACATGTTTAGAATCAGCATACCAAAGAACCCCTTGAATTCAATTTTTGTTAAAATCAAACTAAGTATAATTTGGACCCTTTGGACCTTAATGGGGACCAATTTGAAAACCAGTCCCAAAATCAAAAATCTAAATAAATGGTTAGAAACAGCATATCAAAGAACCCAAAGAATTCCTTTTTTGTTAATCAAACAAAGTTTAATTTTGGACCCTTTGGACCTTAATGTACACCAATTTGAAAAACAAGTCCAAAATTAATCAAAGAGCTGAAAGCTCTGAGGAAAAATGACGCCACTGTCTCTAATATTGATATATTTTTTATGCAAGTCTTGATTTTCACATGTAGTAATAAGTTTAACATTGCAACATGTCTAGTAAGCATATAATTGATATTCGTATATGTGTCTGTTTTTTCAGTACAAATGAATAGGTCAAGACTACCTGAATGATCTACAGTATCCAATTACTACTGGCATTTTTTTTGTATAAATAAATAGGTCAAGACTACAGGAATGATCTACAATATCCAATGACTACTGGCTGTTCTTTTGTACTAATAAAAAGGTCAAGACTATTTGAATGATCTACAATATCCAATGACTACTGGCTGTTCTTTTGTACATATAAAGAAAGACTACCTGAATGATCTAAAGTATTCTAAGTAATGTGATTTTTTTCTTGCAATTACATTTTTCTAAATCAAGAATATAGACTACTAGTATCCTTTTCAAACCAAATGATTATGAAGAGCCTGTTGTTAGCAAGCTCTTATACCCCACATACTCATTAAATAAGTTACTAGTGACCTAGTTATTTCTGTTACTTGAAGCAAATTATATTTCTGTATATTTAGACAATAGTATAATATTGTTTTACTAGTTTTATTTCACCTTGAAGATTAGACAAATAGGTATACTCCTTCGATTTTTTATTTCATGTCAGTCAGG